TTGCTTTTGTTGTAGGAGTGTGTGCAAGATATCAGGCTGAACCAAAAATGAGCCACATTACTCAAATGAAAAGAATCTTGAAATATATAAATGATACAAGTGACTATGGTATGTTATACTCTCACAGCACAAATTCCATGCTTGTAGGGTATTGTGATACAGATTGGTCATGTAGTGCAGATGACAGAAAGAGCATTTCTAACAGATATTTCTTCTTTGGGAACAATCTCATATCCTAGTTCAATAAAAGCGAAATTGTGTTTCATTGTCTACTGCTGAGGCTGAGTATATTGCAGCAGGAAGTAGTTGCTCTCAACTAACTTGGATGAAACAAATGTTGAAGGAATATAATTTTGAGCATGATGTCATGACATTATATTGTGACAATCTGAGTGTTATCAACATATCTAAGAATCCCATTCAACATAGAAAGAGAAATCATATTGACACTCGTCATCATTTTATTAGGAATCTTGTTGAAGACAAAATTATATCTTTTGAGCATGGGGTCACTGAGAAAAATCTGTCTGATATTTTCACTAAGGATTTAGATCCAAGTCAATTCGATAAATTGAGGAGTGAGTTAGGAATTTTCACTTTTGAGAAGTTATAACAATTACATGTGTGGAGGAATGCAACATATACTCTATATTTCCTCTATTTTATGGTGGGTGATATTCCTAAGAGAAGTTTTAGTGTTGGACCTACAATTAAGTGGAACAAAAGGTCCTTGCAAAGAAAGGAAGTTGGTTTGAAGAAGACAAGTTTTGGGTTGCTGGTAGAGGAATTCAGTGTCAACACTCCTAAAATATGTGACAGAAGCAAAGAGTGCAGGAGGATCTTTGACAGAGGTAAAAAGTGGGAAACCATTGTATGATGAAAGTTTGTGAGCTTCCATATTTGTGTGCTTCCATTCTTCGTGCTTCCATTTTTTGTGTACTTATTCTACTTTTGTCAATTTTTGGCTAAAAAGGGGGAGTAAATATTTGTTGATGGGTTTGATGGTTTGATGACATTCCAGTTGTCTTACCATCCTGTTATTACTATACTACTTGAGGGGGAGTAGTTATTTTTGGTTGTATGAAACTGTTTAGGGGGAGCATGATATTTTTCTAAAGGTCATGTACTTTTGTTAATGGTCTGGTGTTCATGGGGGTTGATGTATGCTTCCTGATTGTGTGTTTGATGTTATACCAAATGTCTTAACATATTTCCTGAAGTTGTTCTTTATGGAGAATTTATGTGTCTGTGTATGGAGAAGTTTGTTCTCTCTGATGTTTTTGTGAGGATGTTAGTTTTCTGCTGTGTTTGCCTCTAATGTGTGAACTGATGTAGTTCATTTTTTTGGTTCATTATTATGAAGATGAGTCTTTGAAATAATGCTACTTGTGTATCTCTCATATTTTTATTTTTTTATGATTTGTGCAAATATTGTTTTAGCCAAAATATTTCCAAAGGGGGGAGATTGTTAGGTTTTGGTTTGTTGACTGGTTTTTGGTAAAACAATTAGTTCAGTTGATATTGTACAAGATATCGTGACATGTTGCTACGACATTACAACATGTGTTGTCTCATTGTGTTCTATTCAGGTGGCCAAGAAATTTGTCCATATCGCTACCTAATTGCATGAGAATATGAATGTTTGCCTTAGTAAACTCATCTTGTGTGGGCTTTATAAGTTTTTGGGGTTAGCAGTTAGTGACCTCAAAGAAAGAAACAACCCTGAAAGTCTCCAGGTGTGTGGTCCTGTTTGGCTCCTATAGTTATGGCTAAATGCCACTTTTGAGCCTTCATTGTGGACCAACATTTCACCTGACTCATAGGCCTACATCGAAGGTCTAAGGCTCTCTTAACTTACTCTCAATGATGGTAAAGTTGTTTCCCTAGAGGTTTTTTATAGGAAAAATACCCTTTTTGGTCTCGTATGTTAACCTTAAGGTCCATTTTGGTCCCTTAACTTATAATGGGATCATATTGGTCCCTTAGCTTTCATAACATTTCATTTTAGTCCTTTTTGTCTAATTATCGATGGAAAAACTTAGAAATCGGTTGCTAAATTTGTCTCTAATTAAACAAAAGGACTAAAATAAAACATTTTTAAAGTTAAGGGACCAATATGAACCATTTTTAAGTTAAGGGACCAAAATGAACCTTGAGGTTAACATACGAGATCAAAAAGAGTATTTTTCCTTTTTTATACTTACTTCGACATATTTTATAAATGCAAGACTTTTCTTTTGACTATGTGTTAGAACAAGATTTAATTCTGCAATTTTATCTGAGTTTTGATGATAACAAAGAGTATGTTGGTATGAACAATTTTGGTACTCTAATGTTTGTTATTTTGAGTATTTAACAAACAAGTTCTGCTTCTGATTAAAGGCGTTGCCAAAACATTAGAAGAGACCAAGTTCCGCTTTTACACTATACAATTTCTGATGAACAGTAGAAACACGCTTCAGAAGGTTCTGAAGTTGTGACTCTGATACACGTTTAAGAAACCAAGTTCTGAAAATCTGAAGACAGAAGCTCTAACTGAAGTTTAGATGTTGAATACTTATGTTTCTAAAGACAAATGTTTCTCAAGACGAAGTGTTGAAGATTCTGAAGATGAAGTTCTGAAGACTCTAAAGACTTGAAGTTCTAATGACCTAAGAGTTATTTTCCTTCTTCTAACTCATGCTTAGATAGAAGCCTCTGAAGTCCAGAAGATAAGAAGATAACGTTATACATAGTACATGGTACAAACAAAATATTCCTTTCCACTACCATGAAGGATGGACGCGTTGTACAACCTTGTCCCCCACTATGACTCAACCTGCCAACTTTCTGGAAGTTCCAGAAATACCCTCCAACGGATATATTATTTTATTGGCTATATAAAAGCTTGAAGACTAAAGGAATGGCTGCTAATTCACGTTCTTACAAGACTGTTCATAGCATTCTTATTTCTTAAGTCTAAATTCTTGAAATATTATTTACTAATCCGCTTGTTTAGAAGCACATCTTTTGTAAACAAACCTTGTTCAAATTGTTGTTTGATTGTGCCTTAAGGGACCAGTTGGTCAGAATACTTGAGAAGTCTAATATTAGTGTGTCTTAGAGATTGTAACGTGAGTTAATTGCAATTAGCTTGTGCATTGTAATAATTTGTGTGATTATTGGATTACGACCTTGTTAAGAAAGGCAAAATCACCTTGGCGGATGGACTAGACTATCTTGTTAGTTTTCAAGTGAACTAGTATAAACATAACTTGTTCTTTTCTTCCTGCATCTTATCTTTATTATCAATAAGTGAAGAAAATATTTTTCAGTTAAAGGGGATTTTTTTAAAGAAATGCTTTTGATTTAAAACCCAATTCAAACCCCCCTTTCTTGTGTTTTTCACACTTTCAGTTGGCATCAGAGCTCCGATTCTGAGTGATAAAAAGTTTGTGTTTTTATCAACACTTAACACTGTTCAATACCGATCCAGACTGTGTGAAAAATAATGGCTAACAACAAAGTTGCCACTGTTGTAATAACTGGCAAAAAATAACGAGTCGACACATTAATTTTTATCCTAAGACGGGAATATAACAAAATAATTCTAAAGTCGATATAGAGATTCTAAGTTTTTGACTCACTTTAGACGAAGGGAAAGTGTTAGGCACCCTTCATCTACCTTATTTTCAAGGATACTAGGGTTTAGGTTTAAGGATTAGGAATAGGGTTTTAATTTTTAGTTAGGGGACTCACCATGGTTTTTAAGTCGTATGCCTATGTATCCTCTTATGAGGAATTAGAGTCCCAATTTGTATGCCTATGTATCCTCTTATGAGGAATTAGAGTCTCAATTCGTATTTTGTAATGTTTGTTGATGTTTTTTATAGGATTGCGCAGAATTGCTTTCGAATTTATCTTTGAACCTTGTCTGGGTTGTAAAATGGGTGATCATAGACGCAATTCGCAGTTAATTTTAAAAGTAAGTCTATTTAATCCTTTTTCGAAAACGTCTTGGATTTTATTATGTTAGTAGAAAAATAGTTTAATCGTTGGTTAGTTGTTTTGAGTTTCGCATTGATTAAAGAGTATGGTAAGACACAAAGTGGGGGAAAGTCTGATAAAGTGGCCAGATATTGGCCACATGTTTCTCGTCATGAAGGATACAGATGGAGTCTAATGAAGTCTCTCTCATCACGTGGTCAAATATTGGCCACGTGTTGTTCGCAGATAGAGTATCCGGTGAGTTGCATGAGTTTTAATATCTTTGTAAAATATTGAATTAATTTAATTTAAATTTTTTTTTTGTTTTCGTAATTTTAAGTTTTTTTTTAATAAAATAAAAAATAAATCACATGGGGTGTCAAAAGGAGAACATGGATGGTGTAACAAAGAAATAGGGCCCAACAGACTTAAAGCCTAATCAACCATAACCTAAAAACTATTCCAACTTTAAATTATGATTTAGTAATAGTAACAATTAAAATAAAAAGGAAAAACTAAACAAAGAGCGCACGGGTGCCCCATTATTCTCATCTTCAGGAGAAGAAATTAAACAACAAAGTTATACCATTATCTTGACTTTTCAACCTAAGTAGTTAACAAATAAAATACCAACATGTGGCACATTAATGGAATTAAAAAATTAAAATGAAGCAAATATAATGGTGAAAGAGAACAAAAGCAAGATAACAAATCCAAATTATTCTCTTTCTCTCATACTATATTGCCTCTGTTCACAATCTCCAAATCTCTTTTCTCTCCCTTTCTTAACTCAAACAAGATTCACATTTAAACACAGGAATAACAAATAAGTGCACCTGAGATGGGTTGGCAGCGGATCTATTCACTCGACGGTTAGTTGGCGACGGCGGATATGGCGGCGTGGTGGTCGAACTGGTGCGACACTGCGATTTCAACGACGTGTATGATGGAGTCACGGGTTGCGGTTCTGCGTGACGGCGGTTGATTTGTGGTGTTGGACTATTCTACTTTTTCCCAATGTTTTTCCTTCTCCTCTACTCTTTTGTTGTTCTGTTTAGATTTTCAAGTCTTGTTGCTTTGTGTTGATTGTGTCGTGAACTTGTTTTGGAAGTGTTGAATTGGTTCAAAGTAGCGTTAGATTTTGAGCACCATGTGTTTGTGAATTTGTTTGAGTAAGAATGAATGGTGTGAAAAACATGAATTTGTAGGTTGATTTGAATACCATAAAGTGATGGTAGATGTGATACGGTGGGAGAATTGACTATGAGTTTTGCGTTTGTATTCGCACTTGTTCGGTTGAGCAAGAGTCGCCACCGACTTTTTATTTTATCCTAAAGGAAAGGTTAAAAAAGCACAGCAAAAACCTTATTAGATATTTCGTGGGTTCGGGGGTAGATTATGAAAAGGGAAGGTATTAGCACCCTTTTCATCCATGGTTATCCATGGGCTCTTAGTTACTTGGTTTTTTAGATCACTTGCCTTGATTTTTGATTGCTTGAAAATGGTGTGTAGGTGTGTGTGTTTGAAAATGTTTTGGAAGAAGATGCCTTGTCTTAGGCTACCCTTGTAACAATTCTTTACTCGAATGTTTTACAAAGGTGTGTATCTTTTCGAAAAGATGTTTCAAATGTTTTTGAGAGTTTGTTTTGACAGTGTTTGTGGAGTGTGGTTTTTGAAAAGAAGGCAAGCGTTTTTGCAAGTTGATCTCAAGTAACTAAGAGTTTTGTCTACCCTATTGTACTCAAAGGTTTTCTCTATGTTTTCAACTCTTTTTAAAAATTTTGTTCCACCATTGAATTTGGTGGACAATCTTGCGTTTAGGATGTTTAACGGGACGGGCGCGTGTCATCGTATGGACCATGAATGCAATGATGTCAAGTGTCTTTGGCGATTTTGCTTTGAAGGGACTATGATCATTCCATTTAGGCAACATTCGAAAGCGTCATCGAGGGACTTATGATCATTTGAATTTGTTTTGCCAAAGATACTCGACGTGCAAGCATGACCTATTTTGGGAGGCAAAATATGGGATTACCCTAGAGGGTGAAGTGTGATTGTGTATTGATTTCATGTATTTGTCTTGTATTAGGTTATCTAGCGTTTGGTTTTATGTACATGCAAACCCTAGATCTAACCATGGTATAATTCGAAAGCGGTAAATTGCGAAAATGTAAAGTCTACGCTATTACAAATAAAATCTGGGAGTGGGGGTACAAATTTACAAATGGGGATGAGACTTAGGAATATGGTGTCCAATAGATTACAACCAAATCGAATTTGCGACCAAATGTAAATGTAACGAATATATAAAATAAGCAAATGTATAAGGTATTAAGTACAAGTATGTTGAGTAAGTGTTCGTGCATATGTGTATGTAATTATTTACAGGTTCGAAAATGTGAATTTAAATGCGTATTATTAAGTATTGTTTTAACTTAAAGAAAAATTAAATGTTTATTTACTTAATTAGTCTTGTAATCTTGTATATTGTTAATATGTACAAAAAAAAAAGAATGTTTTGATTAAATGTTTTAAGTTCTAATTATATATATAAAAAAATGTATTTTGTCTTGATTATGTACAAACATTTCTAAGAAAGGAAAATGTATTTATTTTTTAAAAGAATTTATGTTCAAAGAGAATATTTTAATTAAAAGAAAAAGGTGTTTTCAATTTTAATTATATTGTGTGATAAAAAAATGTATTTTTGTGTATTTGTGTTTAATATATATTCAAAAAAAATGTTTTAAATTAATTAAATTAGGTATATATAAAAAAAAAGTGTATTGATTATGTACAAGAAAAATATTTTAATCAAATGTTTAAAGAAAAATATATTTTCAATTAATTATGTATTAAACAAATGTATTTTATTAGTGATAAAAAGTTATTGTAAAGAAAAATGTGTTAGTTTAAGTTTTTATTAAGAAGAGAACAAAAGAAAGTTAGGTTATGTAAAGGAATTAAAATGATAAAAGAGCAGATGAATGTGTTGGGCTTTAGATGTTGGAGAAAGGGCGAGGCCCATTTACTTGAGACAGGTTCTTTAGGGTTTGTGAGAACTATTTCAGAAAGGGGAAAAGTTAGGGTTACAGCGCCGTTGGGGTTTCGTTCGTCTTCTCCGATTGCCTTCGTCCTTTGGCCATGGTTGCTGAACAGCGCCTCCTCGCCTGAGCTACTAACGCTACCCCCTAAACTCTCTTTCCTCCATAGCTCGAGCTCAGTGGTCTTACGAAAACAAGGTTTGATCTTGATGCTTTATATTCTTTTACGAGTTTCATGCTTATTTCGTTTTGAGTTTTGACCTTAAACTTTTATTATTGAGGTGGCGGAAGAAAAAGAGAGATAGAGGCGTACTACCTTCGGTCTTGGAGAAGGAGGAGAGGTAGGGTAGGTGGCGCTCCGGAAGCTTGCCGGCGGGGATGCGGTGCTGATGATCTCTTTGAGCTTCCTGGTATCTTTACCTTTTTGCCATTTTAGGGTTTCATGATGATATTGCACTGAAAACCCTTTTAAAAATTCACTTCTTTATCTCTTCTCCTCGTTGGCTTGCCTTCTGTTTATGTTGCCTTGAGATACCTTTGCCTTTGAACGTTTGCCTGTGATGTATCTTCTTTGCCCAAGGATGAACCTAGGGTTCTGAGGGCCCTGAATGCATGCTTATGTTGCCCTTTTTTGTCGCTATGTGTTGGATGCCTGTGTTGGATGCCTTGAGATGCTTCTTTTACTTGTCCCTCAGTTGCCTTGCTTTGAGTTGCTCCAGTATTTCTTTATCTCCTCCTTCTATCGCCTTGAATGTGCTTCTTTTTTTTACTGCCCAATGATGAGTTTTCCGAGGGCCTGGGATGTTTTAAACTGGCTCTTGGCCTTTGATAAGTTTCTTTGACTCTTGATTGCTGGCTTCAGTTTTGTTTAGGCAGGATTGTATGCAGATTCAAAGCTTTAGAAGGTTTGATAGGGTAGGCATTTTTGGCTTGGCCAGTTTTGTTTAGGCAGGATTGTATGCTTGGCATTGTCTTTGACAAAGGTCTATAGGTTGATGGTTAAGGCAGGACATCAGGTTTCTTAGTGTTTGGCCTGGATTATTTGGTACAGGTTTGAGCTTCTTTGGTCTTTTACAGTTCAGGTAGGTAAGGTTTGAACTGATTGTTTCAGGCTTGATCTTTGCTTGAGTTGGTTAAGGCTTTTGGGCCCTGAGACTGGTTTATGCTTTAAGGCATATGCAGGATTTTTAGGCTTTCAGATTGTTGGTTTTGACAGGGTTCAGGTTTGTATGTTTATGCAGGGGATAAGAGGCTTCAGCAGGTTCTTTGAAACAAGGCTTTTGGTTCTTATGCTTGTTAACAAATAGGTTCCAGGTTCTTTGGGACTTGGAGGCTTATCAGTTTTGTATATTTTTTTTGTATTGGTTTTGCTCTCCTTCTTTCTTTACTGTACTGTCTTTTGTTTTGTTTTATATATCTTTCTATCTCTCAAGCCTAAAGCCTAAGCCTGCAAAACCTGCTCTTCTATCTCTCTTCTCTTTCTCTTCAGTACGGCTAATATATTAAACTATGTTTGTGCTTGTACTTTTTGTTCTGAAAGGGCCACTTTATTTTTGGGAAATGATGAAAAGAAATAGCTTTGCTTGCATAACAAATTTCCTCTGCATATTTGTCCCTTCTTGACAGCTTCTTGTACTTTGTATCTTTTGATATCTTCTTTATTGACAGCTTGGGTACCTTTTTGGATAGTAACTTGTACTTTGACAGTTTTGGATGGTTTGAAAGTTGTGATTCAGTTTGGACTTTCTGTTTGTATTGAACTATGCAGTTTGACAATTTTTGAATTGTGCAATTTTGACTTTTGTGCATTCATTTTTAGCAAATAAAAACTCGTCCCTCTTTGTGAACCGGGAGAAATCCCGTGATTTGCAGAGAGGGTTAACTGATCCCAATCAGTGGCCCTTAATGATGAATTTTATATCTGTCTCTTTTATCTATCTGCTATTGACTTTCCTTTTTTCCTTTTGCAGATGAATAATTGAATGGAGGGGAGCAAAGGATAGCAGATGAAGAATTGAAGAATAGAAAATGTTTAGGATAGTATTCTTTTTATTTAAATTTAAATTAATGTAAAATCATTGCTTGTAACTAAATTATAAACAATAATTGTACGAATAATTTAAAAATAAATAAAAGTTTTCATTATCCAATTAATTCTATTTTATCCTTTATTGTTTATTTATTATTTAAAATTCTCTGAATTAAAATAATTGAAAAATAAATTCCAATCACTTAATCTTAGAATAATAAATAATTTAAATAAACAAAGCTTTAGCAAATTGATCAGTTAAACCTGGCATTTCCAATATCCAAAGCAAAGCAACAGTTAATCAAGACAACTGATCAGGCGCATTCCCTTTTCACTGATTTCTTACCGAACACTGTAAATCCAAACTGAATGTATCCTTTGACTGGTTCAATCAAACAAACGTGAATTCAATCCAAATGCCCTCTTTTACTAATTAAGTCAAACAATGCGAATTCAAACCAAATCTCGGAATAACTTGCAAAGCATCGTAGAATTAAATCTTTCTGAGAACGTGCCCACAAAAACCCTAATTCCTGATTAAATTCCAAAGAGCGTTCGCCTGATCAAAGTTGAGCCAAAATCAACCAAAACCCTAAGCCAACTGTGTGAAACATTCCAGAGCCCTGAAAATCAATGAAACCCTAATTGTGTCCTGACTGACGAGAAAAGTCTGTTTGACCGATTCTTGAGCCAGTCTGAAAAAATCAGGAAACGCCTGAAGCTGTAATTTCTTGTGGAAAAATGCGAGGGTAAATTTTGGGGTACAACAGTTGCCCCTGTTCAATCTTCTTGAACCTGGAGAGTTAGATTGGCAAGTTTGCCTTTCGCGACTTGAAGGTAAAAGAAGATTGGACACTAAAGTGCCCAGAAAATTTGCACTCGGCGATATGATGGTAGAGGTGAATGGGCTTAAAGATGCCATTTGGTGATGGGCTTAAAGATGCCATCTGATGCGATAGAATCTTGTCGGGGGATGGGCTTAAAGATGCCATCGGGAAATGGGCTTAAAGATGCCATTTGGCGGCTGCTGATAGGAGGATGGGCTTAAAGATGCCATCTGGAAATGGGCTTAAAGATGCCATTTGGTGAGTATCAGAAAGGAACCCATGTTTTGGAACATCTCTGAATTTGGGGGTCTGAATAAGCAATAGATTGACATCCACGTT